CTTTAAAATAAGTGTGAATTAAAACAATAATATATTATTCGGTTTTACTATGTAATTAATTTTTCCCATAGAAGAACAAGACAAATTTGCTTGGTTTTACTTATATATTTTTATATATTCTTAAAAAAAACTATATTTTTAAAAAAAAAAAACTATTTTACTAATAAATTACCAAATAAATTTAAAATTCACAGTTAAAATCGAAAATAACTGTAATTTTGGACAAGCAGGGCAAGCAGTGCTTAGCTAGTGGCGCCATCTCCTGGTTGGTAGAGCGGACTATGGTTTGTAACCACACTATAGCAGTAACTCAAACCATGTAAGTCAATACAATGAAGCAATGTCACAACCAGCAAGGACTCAAACCAACCATTTGGAAAATTGCACTGAACAAAAAGCAGAGCAAGATGGAAAGTTGCCTAATCAAAAAAGTTGCTGAAGGTATTTTTCCAATTATAATTGCGTTATTACTCAAAAATGATTTAATTATTTTATCCCCTTTTTAATATATTAAATAGATAGATTTAAAAAAGATTTCCCCGCTCAGAAAAATATTTAAATTGCCATTAAGAATTTAAAATTCAGGTAATATTAAGATAATATTTGTAGCTAACTGAAATGCCTTTGTTTTCTTTTCTGTCTGTCGGTATTTGTGCTTCGTATGCCGGCTCTTTGTGTGTATGCGTTGTTTTTGTTTTGCTGTTTGCGTAGGCGTCACACATAAACACAAATGCAGTCGAGACCCCCTCTATAAAACCCGCCCTCTTTCCACCCAGTCTATTCATAACATATTATCAATATTTGAACGGCTTTTAATTTGTGATAAATAATACCTTCCGTTTGGGATTAACAGAAAATATAGAAATAAAATATTTGTGCCCCTCATGTTTCATTGTGCTGAAATAAAGTGGAGCACAAGAAACTTTTGGCAGGCATAATTTACAAAAACAGGCAGACAGAAGCACAATGCGCACTGAGAGAAAAATAATTCGAAATGATTTTGAATGTCTATTTGATTACTTTTTAAAATTAAAAACCATAATCCGAAAACATAAAACATTAATTATGATCCGTAATTTAAGTTTTAGGATTAATTAAAAAAAAAAATACTTGTTCGATGGATTTATGTTTAATAAAGTCGAATTTTAATTTTTTTTGTAAAGTTTTCTTTAAGTGCATTGTTTGGTCTTCTCCCCCACCTGAAACCCACCCGTCTTTCTTCCGGCGTCGTAGTAGTTTTTGAGTAGTATTTTCCGTGTTATTTATAAACTCTTGAATGTGACAGGCGGGCACAAGCCATTCAAAATGTGCCATGCAGCACCGAAGCCTAGGCCTTCTTTTCGACTCGATGTTTCTATTTCTCTTCATTTTATTCCCCATCCCTGTTTTTGGCCCCCCAAATGAGTCCATGCTCCCCATTCATGTGTTCTCGTCATGTCTCGAGTCTGTCAGTCGGTAAGGGTATGGCTATAAGTACGGTGATCTCTTAAAAAATATAAATGAATATTACCAAATACTTGTAAGCCAAAAACTAGGATTTTCTACATGAAGTAATATTATTCCAAAATATACAACATCAAAATGTTTAAGTACAAATGAGAACACGTTTAGAGACTTCACTGTACTTAAGACATAATGTTTATAGATCACAAGGAACCCATGAGTGTCTGCAAATTCCCGTTTTGCATACAGATGGCGCTAAGCATATGACGCTTGCTGTGTCAGCAAAAACGACAAGAAAATGCCGTAAAAAATTTTATTTGGGCTAAAGAAAGAGCGCAAAAATAGAAAAATAGGGGGAATAGGGAAAACATCGACACTCTTCTTGAAAAAGAAAAGAAAACTCGGACTCCATATAACGCAATTGCAGACACAACCTACCCCAACTTAAACACATAATCCAATCCACTTAATTCCATTTCGCCCTCCTTCTCCACTTTGCCCTCCGATTGCCTTCTCTCCCCCTATAAAAGCAATGAAATCAATAAATCAAGGTAAGCCACGCCCCCTTCATGGACACAACACTGCCATTTATGAATTAAAAAGAGTTCCAGAGACCGCAGTTCTTCGCATCGCATCGAACAGATAAGCAATCATCAGCAGAAGCTCAGAACTCGAGGAGTCGAGCAGACAGTAGAAACAGCAAGGAAAGGAATGCGGATTTTGATTCGTATAATTTTTAAATACCCTTTTAGATGAAATAATCAAGATTACCAAACTGCATGCAATATTCTTAGTCATATTATATTTTCTAGTGCCAAATTTCAGGTAATTAGCATTATAAAAGCAGACATAATATTTCAATTTGCCAACTATATGTTAAAGAGCAGAAAAATAGTGGGCAGACGGCCAGAATTTCTGTAATTATCGTTAATTATAAAGTGTTACAGGAATAGCTTAATTTTACAACAGCCAACAACAAAAAAAAAAAAAATTGAGTTGATAATAAAATTACATAAAAATATGAATTAAAAGATATAAAATAAGAAATTCATTTACCATGGTATAAAATATATTTGGGTCGCTTGTTATTGAAAATATTATATTTAAGGGTCTACATTAATATTTCAATGAATAAAAAAAAATTGTTTGCATAGTTTTGTTTTTAAAGATTTTATTAAATTTTATTTTTTTAACATTATTTTACTGAAATAACAAAACCTGAAGTGGCAGTTGGTCCTAACTCAAAGAAATTTCCCCCACTATCCCAGCAATCTTGATTGTAAAATCATATTACCTCCCCGAAAGGGCATCGAAATATGGTATCTATGGGATACGCGACTCGAACTGAGATTCAGAACTCTGAGGCTGCTGGCGGAAGTGCGGCGTGCAAATTCCAATTTTGTATTCAGCAGCTGGGATGGGATAGTGATGGTATGAGGAGGAGAGCAGCCACAAGACCGAAGTGAAGGCGACTTGCGAATGGAGGCAGCCGAAGTGCAACGCATCATTGAATTCTTAATCTGGCATTAATACAATTTTATGTATGGAGTCGCTAGAAGAGGCCTACGAGGAAGAAGAAGCAGAAGAAGACCCCTAAGAAGAGGGGGCGGCGGGCATTGGGAATCGGGAATCCCAACAAAATCCGCAAAACGCCGACGAGCCTCGGACCATGAAGATGGGCGACGACAGATTGTGAGCATTGCACTCGAGGAGGAGGATGAAGTGCATCAGGGAAGAGGAGCAGGAGGAGCTAGAGGCACAACGCTTGGAAATGGAATGTTGTCGAGCCGTTGTCGTTGGGGGCTGCATTTGATATGCCTGCTGTGTTTGACCCATATTGGAATTTGCCTCCAGAGCACACGCAGAAAAAATATAATTATAATATTATTATCTTCAAAACTCAGAATCTAATCCCCTGCTAACAATCTAGTTTATACCCAATTTTAAAATTCAAGTCATTTAATAATGAAAAACCTATAAAATATTAATCTAGATATCTTACAAAAATTTATAATATATTTTACAGAAAATAAAAATATACCATAAAAGCAATAAACTGAAAGGACTATTTCAACCTATTTCAACCGTATTGAAAATAGTTTTAAAAAATTCTACAACATTATAAATATTTCATTTTGGTACAAGAAGTTGAAAGTGATGTTAGTTTAATCAGTTTAATCAGATGTTAAATATTTCATAACAATTTTAAGAATTTCTATGACCTATTTTGTTTTTAGTAAATATTTTTTTTTTTTTTTTATAGGAAATCAAAATATAGTTTTAAATGGTAGAAGGGTTTCTATTATAAATGTGATTAAAAATCTATAGAAAGAGGTAATTGGTTTTAAGTACAATTTTTAAATATTTAGTTATAATTAAATGTTTTTTCTTCAGTGCATAAATAGCAACAGAGTGGATTTTCAAGGGGGAGCTTAGAGGAACGGGAAGGGTCTTCGTCGGTGGAAGAGCGGAGTTGGGGCTGCGCACAAGTCACGATTTGTACACCGCTTAGAAAAACTTGTAATGAATGTGGGATGCAATGAAATGGAATGGCTGGGGATGAGCTGGATGGATGGACTGAGGGGAAGCAGGAGGAGTAGGGAACCCGAGGGCCAGTGGAGGACAACAGGAGGCCACTGCACAATGAAGTCGACCTGGCAGTTCAGCGCACAAACACAAGCGCATAGCACATAGAATGTCTAGAAGGTGTTTGAACTCGGTGCAAAACAGCAAAGTTCAAAACTTCGAAATGAAGGAAGTTTGAGAATGCCCTAAGACGAGTTGCTTCTGGTTGGTTCCTGATTCAAAAAGGCCATCAATTATGTCTAGAGAGGAAGGAAAAGGAAGAGCCCATAACAAAATGGAGCAAACGGGAAATTAGACCTTCTCTGGGCTGGATTTGTAGAGCTTTTCCGGTGGTGGTTTTATAACATAAGAAAGATAAGAAGGAACTACTTTTATCAAGCCCTATAATTTATACAGATAAGCTTAGATATATCAGCCTAAAAGATGATTCATTAAAATTTTAGGGGTTGTCACCTTGCAAGCCTTATCTGCGGGGTTTTTTAGACTTTTTGTTTAGAACTTTTCCTTAAGGGCAAGTACTCAACCTAACAAAAAGTCGTCCAAAACAAAAAACTTCATATGAAAAACAAGGTCAAAAAATTTTGTTTCATATGAAGTTTTTGTTTTGACGACTTTTTATTAGGTTTAGTACTAGCCCTTAAAAATGATTATTTGTTATGAATTTCTATCAAACAAATGTTTTTACGAATATAAATGAGAACTGTTTGACTTAATGAAGACTCCTTGCCTTTTCTTCATTATTAAATAAGATCAGAAAAGCGATTTGATTATTATAGCAACAAATTTGATTTTGCAATCTAACTAAAAATAGTCTACCTATAATATATATTTATACGAAAACTTCTTTCCTTTTAATCATTATTTAATTAGATAAGAAAATCGATTTAATTATCATTACAAACAAAATTAATTTATCTATCTATTTATAATAACTTAAATTACTTTCAAATATCTTTTCTATAAAAACTCACCTTCATTTTCGCTGCGTCGCCGCCTGGGAACACTGTTGTAGTTGCTGCCATGGTAGTACTCCATCTCCGACTTCTCCGTGGACTCGTTCTCCTGCTTCTCATCCTCGGTGTGAACCGGGGACGAGGGTCCCGACGAGGCACTGGCCACCGGTGAGCCCGATGTGGCCGAATTGGTGCTGCCACTGAGGCCATTTCCTGAATACTGACCATTTCCGCCGGCTCCACCATCCAGGGATCCCCTCTTGGCGGGTTGGATAATATACGAACTGGTGGGCGAGGCGCAGGACGAGGGCGTGGAGCAGTTGGTCAACGGTTGCGTATCCTCGATGAGATCTACGGACTTCTTTCGGGGTTTCTCTGGCGGAATAGGTGGATCCCCTGAGTTCCTCAGCAACTCCTGCTGCTGCTCCTGCATCAGGGATCTCTGGAGTACAGCAGCTGACTTGGCAGGAGGAGGCGGAGGCGAGTTATCCGCCGTCTTTGTGGGTGATCCTCGCACCGCATTGAACTTCACCGGACTCACATTCTTTGGCTTGACCGCCGGAATCGGAGGCAATGGCGGCGACTTCACAGGACTCCCGATCTTTCCGCTTCTTGGTTTGATTTCTGGAGGAGCCTGCGCCGTTCGCATCGGCGGATTGGGACTGGCATTTGGTGTTTGGGTCGGCGGTTCCATTGCCGGCTTCGAAACCTTCTCGCTATCCATTATAAGTCCAGTTCCTGGCACTGTACGTATGATATCGCAGCGATTTAGATCGCTGTGCGTCCTTGTGGTTTTGGTTTTGGTGAAATGCGAAGTCCACTTCTTTTGCTTCTCAATGAGTTCCCTTGAATTGAATTTCCTCTCCGGTTTCTCCGGCTTATCAACACCTCCGCCTGAGTTGGCAAATAAAGCACTCACTGATCCTCCAGCTGGTGGTGTTATGGGTGCCACTTCCTCCGATTTAGTGCGGGATATATTATGCTGTGGGTACTTGACCACCGAAGTGGGAACAACTTGGGCCGCTGGTTCAACAATAAATTTGCTATTGCTCAAACGTTGCTCGGTTGGAAGAACTCCATTCTGAGCCACAGTGGCGGCATTATTATTGTTGTGAACTAGGGAAACTCCCGAGGGAAATGGGGTTCTCCTTTTTGGAGGCGATTGTGAACGATCCGAGGAGCGTGAAGATGAGCGATCCGAACCGTCGCATAGATTATCCTCACGGGAACCACTTCTCAGGAGGCGCGAACTCACATTCGAGTTGGACTCGACTCCCAGTTTCTCGAACAGCGCCCGAGCGTTATTGAATCTCGCCGAATGGGATTCCGTTCGTACCGCCGGTGCTCCTGGAACGGCGTGGGCGTGATGGGCAGCTGCAGCGGCGGCGGCAGCGGCGTGAGCGGCGGCCACAGCAGTCAGCTGTTCCACAGGCTGAATCTCAATCGGTTTCCGCTGGAAGATATTGGCTATCTGGCTCACCTTACCCACGGCAGCCGGAGTGGGTGCATGGTGCATCGGTTTCTCCATGATGGAACTGCAAAGGAATAATGGAAAAATAAGTTAGATATGTTTTAAAAAATATTATTATAAATATATGTTGAGGATATTTGGGTTTTGAATTTATTTTACTCAGCGATATAATTTTTTTTAATTTTGTTTAGGAATATACGAATTTTTTCTAAAATATTAAAAAAATTTAAATAGATTCAAAGTTCTCTAAAATTCTACAATTAATTATTTTATGTCTTTAAAATAGTTCTTATTCACCAAACCTACTTTGCGCCATCTGCACTATGTCACAATAAATTAAGTTAACAAAATATGAAAATTATGTGATTAATTAGAAATTATAGAATCCAATTTAAACCCCTAAAATTCTATAATAATTGAGTTACTAGTTTTAAAATCTTTGTTTCATACCAAACCTATTTAACATCATCGTCACTAATTCACCTAAATTATCTCATTAAACAGCTTTTATTTTGTATATTATTTATTATTGTTTCATACATAGCTATAAAATGGTTTTTTTTAACCAATCCATTTTACACCACCTGCACTAAATCACAAGAAATATTTAACAAATTATGAAAAATTATCTCATTAACTTTTACCACGATTTTCGCTCTTTTTTCCCCTTTATTATCGGAAGTCGTGTATATTAAGAGATCCCAGTTATCTGTGATAAAAATTCCACTAACCGCACCCTAATGGCCAAACTGATAAAATCGATGGGGAACGGGAACTTTTTTTTACATTTATTGCCGTGTTACCTTTGCCATTTTCTTGCTCATCGATTTGACTGACTTTCGCAACGATTTTCACCTTTACTTTCAGCTGTTGGCGATTTTTATGATTTTTCCTTTGTTATGCGTCTGTTTGTTATTTTCTGCACATCAAACACAATTAAGGCTCCATTGATGGGCCCCCTAATGTTTCTGTTGTTGGATGTGTGAAAGTCTTTGAAAAAGTGAACAAATTTCAGTTGTTGGTGCCTTGGCTTGGATTTTTTTGGTGAGAAAGAGAAGGCATTGCCATATGGTAGGCGATTGAGGGGCTTTCTTCGCCAATCGAGAATCGGAGAAAAGGCAAGAAAGAAGAGAGGGCCCGAGAGACCCAGAGAGCTGTGAGTGGGGAATGTCGGTTTATCGGCGACATTGAAAGCGATTCACTCGGTGGGTGTTGTAGGTGTAGGTGCCTCCATATAGCTGATAGGGTAATGGTTACCGTTATCGGTTCGGGCGGTATTTGTATTGATTTACGAGTTGGGCTAGGTTGGTTCCACAAGTTGCCCTACTGGCAGGAAAAAATACTACGTTTAATTGCCTTTATATTTTTACAACTAACGGAAAGAAATATTCCTAAGACTTTATAATAATAAATTCACCCACTTGGATGAAAAGTAAAAAAAAATGTGGTATTCAAAAGTATGCAACAAAATATGTTATATTTGGAAAACACGTTCAAACAAATCCTAGCAACACCACTGTAATTTTAAAAATGTATTCTAATAAATAAATATAACTAACATTTAACCAAGCTATAAAAGAAAACAAAAAATCAGCTTTTCAATTAAGAATTTTTTTTTGAATTTTAGGATAGATATATGTTTGAAACAATTGCCATAAAGTTAACTAACAGCTGTTCTATAAGATTTTCTTAGATTTTTAAATCCTTTAATTCTCAACTAATACCATAAAGATTACTCCACTCAGCCGAAAATAACCACCCCCCAATTACACACCTAAAAACAAAACAAAGTTCTTCTTTATAATCATAACCTCTTTTAGTGGATTTATTTTCTGTGTGTGTGAAAAAAGCGCAGACTATCTGAACTAAGCAGACAGTCGAAACTTATCGCAAAGTCAATAAGAACAAGAGCCTAACTAGCTGGAAATGAACAAACACAAACACGACAACAAGCGCAGGCGAAGAGGTAAACAAATGGCCAGATAGTGAACTCACACCCATGTCCACACAATTAGGTGGAGAGCAAATTGAGACAAAGGTCGGATCTGTACTATATCTATCTGGGATCTGGAATCCGGGGTCTTGTAAATATGGGGTCTGCGGGACAAAAGTCAGAGCCCTGAAAACACGAGACAATGGCGACGATAGAAATACTTATCTAATCTAATCGAAATGCACAATGCATGTGACCATGAATTAAGATAGACGTGTGGATGAGATAAAGATTACGTTGAGATAAATATAGCCGGTGATCTAGTTCGTAGATATATTATTGAAAAGAGTATAAGTACCACATGGCGGATGAGTGAAACCGTAAAGCTTCACTTAAAATATTACGTATCCGCCGCATGGCTCCTTTAATTCCCCAGAGAAAAACTACGTTGCATTCGGTGCGTATTACAGGTAATAAATATTTAAAGAGCTCGCAGATTTATTCGGCTGTCGTGCAGATATTGATTTAATGACAGTTCCTCTCCATCCATCCATTTATCCATCTATCCAACGCTCATTATAAATGAATGCCGCAGAGAAATGGACAGCGAGAAGGAAGGAAGGACGTGAAAGGACATCGACATGGACACGAGCAGAAAAGCTGCTCAAGTGCACAAATCCATGCAGCTTTTAGGGTGATGAAGGAAAGGGGGGAATATTGGTATTGGCTTGGCAGGCTACACTATTTATAACAACCCCATGAGGTCCGCATCCTTGTCCTTGGCTTTTTGGCTTCGGAATTTAATCATATACAGTTCATGGCAAGATCTCCCATTGCGGGCTTTCAAGGGTATATTGCAAATGATGTATGGCCCATAAAATAACCATATTTTTTGCGCAGAGGATGATCGATTTTAATTATGTTAATAAATATATAATATCCAGTATATCCTATCAATAAGTATATCATAATAAACATAAATTTCTTTTATTTTGCATTTTAGCATTTACTAAATTGTCTTTGTTTTCTAAACTAAACGATTTTTAGAAAAGTTGTAAGGGGGAAAAAATATATTTTTGAAGTTTGATTGTTAGGATTTTAATATCAACTTAAAATCCTATTCCCTTAAAAATTCCATTCCCCACCCAATAGAAAACCATAATATCTATTACAGTTTCCGCGTAATTAGCATTATAATAGCAAACCCCCAGAGAATCCATTCAGCCGCACCCTAACAGCTCACCTCGTTTTTTTGCAGCATAACTGTCACCATTATCATTAGCATAAATACGGATTAAGACACCCCATTAAAAACTATAATCAGCGCTAAATGCCCCCGATCATAACGATAACGATCATAATTTGCGCCTTGCAAATGACAAAAAACTAGTTTACCCCCAGCAGTGATGTGTCTCTCTAATTTTTGCATAAATGTTAATTGCACTCGGCAAAATGTTAAATTGCACTCGTTAGCTTCAAACACGTGATCAAATCCAGGTGAGGTATAGAGGAGGATGAGGACCCACGACCAGGTGAGCAGCAGGTAGCCAACGAACGAACGACGCCATGTGTTATAATTGCGTCAACATTCAGTCTCTTGAGCGTGAACAAGAAAACAATGTCAACAATGAAATGATGGCCCCATTGTAAATGGCAATGGTGTAAAGGGGGGAAGGGGAAATGCGGAGTGAAGTGGCGGGCACAAAAGATTGGTAGCAATTAGTGAAGCCACCTACCTACGCGTCTGGATCTCGGGCAGAGTACGAGTACCATATACCATACCATACCATATAATACATAATAGGAGTCCCCCACTGGGAGGTCTTGGAGTTGCCCACAAATTCCCATGAATAAAAACTTGGCGCCAGGAAAATGATTTCTTAATACGATATGGATATAGGAATTGGAATCGGAACAGCAGTAATGATGATGAAGCTGGGAACAAAGTCTAGAAGTGCTGTGAACAAAGATATCGGGGTTAACAAGGGACTAAGCCTATGTAACTACAATCTTGTAAGATGCTAGATTAGAAAATAAAAGTAAGATGTTCCTTACTTTTTCTTTAATTTAAATATATAGGAGTAATTTTTAATTATTTTTTATATTTAACAACATAGTATTGAATATAAAATTATTTTTAATTACATACGTACCAATACATAATTTATTATTTTTTCTTTATAAATTGGCTAATGTTGTAATAAAGTAATTCTACTTTTAGCAAGAAATAATAATCTAGTTACCAGGAATATAAATATCATCATGTTATGAATGACAAATTCAGAGCTATTGTAATAAAAGTTTTGTTAACCAAAAGACAACTTCCTTTGACATGTATTTTGTGATGACAATCATGATATAATATATTAGTTCATTCATGTTCCTCAACATTTTCCATGTGAACATTTCAATTATACGTCTTTAATTTAAAGCCCAACCTTGGACACCACTCCATAAAGAGTCGCATTGGTTCCTAGTATTATTCTCTGGCTTTTGTATATTTAACAAGTTGTATTTCTTTTCATTCCGATTCCAAGCGCAACCTTCGTCGGTCGTGACAACTGTCTGGCTCACAGACTTATGGACTTACAGACCTGCAGACTTGTAGACCAACAGACCATTTTCCGCGTAGGCCTGGTTAGTAACAAAACTAACGAAGGAGCAACCAGTAAAATAAAAAAAATAAAACAGAAACACAGCGCCAACCACATTCACTTATTAAACGAGAACACAACAATTCAAGATGTTTTGATACGGTTACCTTACGATGAATACGAAACGAGTTGTTGGTTGTTGGGTTGTTAGTTGTTCTCGATGTTATGTGTCTGTGGTTCGTTGGTCTTGTTAGACAAATTATGCCAATTAAACGGTGGGAAAACAAGTTGGCAAAGTCTGCACGCGCTGCCGGCCCCCTAAAAGAGTGGGTTTCTCTCGATCCCCAAGTCTCCCACTCTGAAATTCCGAATCCGAACTGGATTGCACTGGGCCTACGTTCGTTTTGGTTGACGGGGAAACACAGAAACGGGTCTTCAAAGGATGCGCCCTGGGTAAATTGAATAACCACAGCAGCTGTGGAAGCAACGCACTCAAAAGATCCCAGACTAGAACCAATTGAGATACGTCCTCATACGTCCTCATCGCATCAAAGTGTTTAGAGCCTCACACGTCGATCGGGATCCATTTGCATAATCGAACCGATTGACTTTTATAAGCCTGACAAATGACTGCCAGTGAGTCAGTGGCCTGGAAAGGAACGGAACGGTTCGGTTTGGCTTGGTTTCGAATTGGAATGAGTGTCGCCGGTTTGGCGGGCAACTATTTTTAAACTCCCAGGATGCTGGCAAATTTGCATACATTCCCCCGCCAGGTGGCAACCAACTTTATGTGACTTTATATCGCACTGAGGGAAAATTTGCCTATGGAACTTAAATAAGGAAGTTTTTTTAGATATATATATAAAAATATTCGGAATCACCAAATATATTTTTCTAAGAGTTTTTCATATAAAATTTGATCCATCCATAACAAAATAAATCAGATGGACGGAATCGATATTGCGATGTTTCGGATTCGATAAATCTGTAAATCTTGTACAGATTGTAAACTGTTCGATTGATAGGTTTTTAAGGACCATTGGGCACAAGGATCTTTACATTATAATCTTAAATAAAACTTTTCTGTTTCCCTCGCGGGCTGTCCAAATAAACTAAACCACAACCTGGCGCCATCGTCCTCGTATTTTCCCCAAACGAGTCTCATGTGCGCATAATTAAGGAGCCCAGGGATCTAGAAACTTGGCTAAGGATTCGCCACGTGTTTCTGTGTGAGTGTGAGCCAGTTTTTATGGCCTAACTGGGCGATGCTAGCTTCTAAAAAACATTTGTGGCTGCTTGGGGACAGTTCATGCCCCGGCTTATATGAACAAATGTTCCCCTTGCTAAACATATGACTTGGCAGAGGGGATTATGCTTCATCAGCTTTTAGTTGGGCTATGCATAAATTTTAGTTTTGGGAACCAAATACAAAAAAAATCTATTAAAGTGATATATGTAATCCTGAAATATGCCTGTATTTATGGTTTATTATTTTCTACTCAAGGTATAATTATATTATATTTACTGGTCAACATTTAAAAAATGTAATATGAAAGCCACTAAATATTTTATTTAAAATTTATGGGCATTCCACAGTTGACTTAAACTCAAAATAATTTGCAAAACAAATTTATTTAAAGACAAATGTAATCCATAAATATTTTAGTACTGGATTATATTTTCTTTATATGTTTGTATCGTACGCTTTTTATTTTTGAACACAACTTTTTAATGGCAACCCCTATAAACTAAATATTTGCAATTTAAAAGTGTAATTGAAATTTATGGGCATTCCGCAGTTGATGTAATCTCGCAATAAACCCGCTCAGCACTGCGATTTATTGCCCTATGATAGCCAAACTGGACTCACCTTTCTCTTGGCCAATTCAGGTGTTGTTCGGTGTCCTTACTCCTTCCGTTCCTCTCCTTCTGTTGGCTTCCTCCTCGGCTTTTCCTTTGTTGTTTGATTAAACCTGCTCAACACCTAAAGCCTGGCTCCGCTCCAAACATTTGTCATTGTGGCGGGATGTTTGTAGAGTGTGTGTTTTTTTTTCGCTTTATTCGATTTTTTCAGCTTTTCTCGTATTCAAGTTGAGCCAGGTGAGGCTGCTCCTTCCTCTCCACTGCCACTTCCACTTCCTCCCACTCGATGGCACTGAAGCGTGTCTAGTTGTATATTTTTTTCTCGTTCGTGGACGTCGTCGTGGTTGTCAGCCAATCAACCCACCGCTGGCCTCATCGGTGTCAGCATTTTTTCTGTTTTCTGTGTTTGTTTGCCTTTTGCGCAAGATGAAAATGCAAATTTCTGCAAAAAACAATTCAAGAAACAAACGCAAACAAAAGTTAGGAGAGCGAAAATGCATTTAACAGAAATGGAAACTTAAATGCTACATACAAAAAAATATTTTAGTGGTTTTGAGAGATTTGGTTAAAAGAAATTCCATTTGGAGTAATTTTCAAGATTTTTAAGAAAAAATGTGGGGTATAAAAAATGAATTTTAGCAGATTACTCTGCCCTTTATCTGCCGCCACACTTTCAGTATGTTTTATGCAATTAAATGCATTTAAATCTTAAATCTTTTAATTTAATTTATTCTTAAAAATTCTATTAAGTTTGTATTATTTCATTTTTCCCGGTGTACTTGCTAGTTCAATGAACCAAAAAAAAAAAACAGCCAAAAGCTGGCCAACGAAACCAAATAGAATTGCCACATTTTTAAGGTGGCCCTCCGAGGCATACGAAATTAGTTGGGACTCTCTTCCGAAGGGGTTTGTGCCTTTGGGGTTTCTCGCCGGAAAATTGAAGGTGAAATGTTGCAAACGGAAGCAATTAGTTTCATTTGAAGCTTCAGGGGAAAACAGAAGAGTTCAAGACAAGCCCAATCGACTGTAACCAAAAACAAAAAACATAAAACCGGGGAGAAAGTTCGGCCAATTGATAAACAGAGAGCGTCGTTTTCAGTAGCTAAAATTCGTCAGTCATCAGTCAACAATAACAATGTTATTAGCTTTTTGGGGGGTAATCAAAGTGTCTCCTTAACTCATCCCCCCTCCAAACTCTATTTTCGAGTCTTTGTGCCTTCTGTGACGCCTACAAACACTCACACTGAAAATCATTCAGCGCATTGTAATTGTCTAATTTATTGTTGTTCAACAATTTCACTCGTTTAGAGTGCGTGAGAAAATCGTGGTGGGTGTAATCAAATGGTTAAACAAAATTAAGAAATTTAACTGAAATGGGATCCGCATTAAGTGAGTTACTTGAGGCAGGTCGTGAAGTTGTAGGAGATACCAAGCCTAAATTGGGTAATTGATAGTGCGAGAGTGTGGGATAGAGAGTGAAAGTCATGGGTAGTAGAGAGATTATGGTTAGTAAATAAGATATTTAAATTATTTCCAAGAAAACTTAGTATGTGAAAATTAAAGTTCCCCAAAATACTATATTAAAAGTGGTTCATAAATGCAAAATAAATATTAAAGTCAATTAAATAGTTATAAACAACGAAATAAATTTAAGTAATTCATAAATAAATTCAATAAAAGTGGTTCACACAATTCAGTGAAAATAAGCATCAATATAAATAAAATCAAATTTTAATTTTCACACGCAAAATAAAATTAAAAACCGTGGAATGGCATTGTCAACACTTCCTTTAAAATTGATATCATGTGTTTGAAACTACAGTTTAAATATTAATTGCAACTTTTGTTATGCAAAACTATAAAAACCACAAATTATATAAATTCAAAGCCATTTTCACTGACATTTTCTTTTCTCTAGAAACACTAAACAAGGTCATTCTGGCCAAGTTTCCCCCTATTTTCAACCCATTTTCCATCCAATATTCCCCTCTCATAATCACCATGCAATTTCTGAAATTGCCGCTTGACATTTGCGTCCCACATAAACTAGAATGTCGGGCTGAAAGTGCCAATAACTTGGCATTAGAATCGGCTGTCTTGCAAGGCCTTTAATTACAATCAATCAGATTTCTCCTCTCGACCGAAAGCCCATATCATTAGCTGGCCGGGTTTATTGGCATTAAGATTGGATGGAGGATGGTGAATGAAAAAGAGGAAAAGAGATCTTTGCGGTTGCGTCGTCGGCTCATAACGGTTTGATGTCGATTCGAGCCATATGTGATTATCAAGTTTTGGTTTCGAGATGCGTATAAATCATGTCAGCGAGCAGCGAAAACAACTCGTTGGCTTTGATTATAATTATTAGATGTCATAACTTTCAATCAAAACACAAAGAAAAAATGCGTTAAGAGGTTGTTTTTGGAGTGCTCTTTTTGTATCACGGCCGATCGAAATGATTTGATCAAGATTTTTACAAAACTTGGCAAAAACAAAAATAGTTTACAAAAGCTTTAAGGTTTCTCGTGTAAATTACATTCAAGTTGCCTCCAAGTCATGTTTTTAGTTTTATTATGGACCCGTTTAGGTGTTGGCTTCCTCTAACTTCGAACTACTCCCCACATTCTCTTCACTTTTTATGGCCTCATAAGCTGCGATGTCTGAAGAGGAAGAAGTAAACAACTTTTTCATGACCTTTTACGGTGCAGAAAAGCAGAAGCAGCTGCCCCAAACCAAATCTAAAGCTAAAACTAAAACGAAAACTCTGGCTTAAACCGGAGACTCCGCTGAGAAGGAAGGCCATGTAATGCCAGAAATTGGTTTTGCAGACCAGAAAAGTTCTCGCCGCGAATGCGAAGCTGTCTTTCCTTATTGGGAGCCAAGTTTTTAGGTGGGATGTCTGCTGCCGGTCCACCGAACTCCGGATAGACCAATAAAAAGCGGCTAGCAGTGGGAAAATGTTAGAAACGTTCTTTTTTTCGATGAGATTAAATGGTAAAAGAAGTGAGAAGAAGGTGGGTGGCTTTTTGATGTTTGTTGAAAGGTCGTTTGGAAAAATACATTTGGATTTTAAGTATAGTTAAGGTGGCGAAAGATAAGAGCCTTTAAAATTCATGTAGGAAGTCCAAAATAAATTAAAAGAAATATAAATAATAATATTCTAGAATAACATTGCCTTTCAGACGGTTTTCTAACTTTGAATAAAATTTTACAGAATTTTACAAAGTTAATTATATACTCACTTGGTTAGCTTAAATCTATAGCTCTTATAGTAAGTACAAATTTGGAGTTGTATCTTAACTTCATTGAGGTCTGCGTTGATACTTAAAATGTTAAATACAGTTTTATTTATATAAATATTTCACCTACTAATTTTAATCTTTCATCCATTATCACTTAGACAGTGATTATCCCCATGGTAAAATTCCTACTCAAACTTATCTCTTAAGTGCTTCTCAATTTCCAATTCTACCAAGACATTCTTCATATTTTCCGGCTCATAATCAAGCGAATTATCAGATTGCATGCCCCATCATCGCAGCTCGACGACGTCGGGTAATCGGCAAAAGTATTTCTAATTCACAGTTAAGCGCGCAATAAGCCGCTTTTAACGTAGTTTTTCTTACCATTTTTTATGGCAGTGCGAAAAAATGATAATAACAATAAGCAAGCAAGGCATGCGAAATAAATTGAGCAAAAATGTTGCAAAATTAACCGCGCAGTGGAGCATGTAAGTGTTACATTAAATGGGAGGTGGGGCGGCTGTTGATTTTAATTGCCAAAACCCCCTTGCAGATTTTTCCTCCCCGTCATGGGATAATAATTATGGCCAAGTAGAGATAATCGCAATAAGCCAAGAGTTGCAATTACAATTGGAATTGGTACGAAAGCCATTAAAGTAATTGAAAATCCCGTAAGAAATGATACTGAAAAGGTAACTTGAACCATTTTTTCAGGGCGTTACCCAAAAACATAAAGTAGATGAACATGCAAAGTGGCGGTGATAAACTAAGGCCTCTAACCACTTTCACACAAGTCCTGTGTCTCTGTATTTACCCCCTCCACCCAGTTTTTCCCTAGTTTTTTCTCCTCTTAGACAAGCTCATAATTTATTGTCGCTGAGGAAAATTGCTTTTCCAAGGTCTGTGAGGCAAAGTGAGTTGCAGCCAAAGAAGAGTGCAGCCAAAGTAAGTGTACATGTTGCATGTCAATTTTAATTGCATATTCGAGGCTGTCAAATTGAATTTGACTTGAGCACGTGGCTTCACAGATAAGATATACTATAAAATATATACAAAGTATGGGTACCTTTATTTTTATTGAACGACATTTATTGATTGGGGGCCCAAAATCACGCGCTCTTATCAGCAGATAACCCGATTATACCGAAAATATATTCAATTCAATATCAAGTTCAACCAACTTCGGACAAATCCGCAAAGCAGAAAAAAAAAACGGAGCTCTGTAAACAAGTTTCCATTGGGGAGTTAATGAAATGTTGCAGTCTGCACAATATTGACCATAATAATAAATCCTCACTCGATGCAATGTGCATCATTCACTCCACTCCTTTCCCCCCTCCCCCCTTTTCCCCTCCAAGTGATGGATTGTGGCAATGAACTTGACATTAATAGGGTTTCCTCTAACTGCCGCCTTGCGTGACCGACCCCGCCCCCTTTTCACCATTTACCATATGCCAGATGCCATATCCATAGCCCATAGGCCATATACCATCTACCATATTCCGTATATGTAGACTGACCCACCTGACGGATGAGAAAAGAGAAGTGAAGAGCAGCACACACATTTTCTCATGCCTCCCATGTTGGGACAAGTCAATCTCCACCAGAGTGCGAGTGCGAATCGTGGCAAGTGCATAAAGAATTTTTAATTGCACAGGAGAGATGAACAAAAAGGCACTGGGAAAAAATAGAATTTAAAAAGCTTATAGAAACCTCGAAAAAATAAAACAAACTATTCGAAATTTCCTTGTGGATCTTAGATCCAAATTTTAAGGTCATAAAAATACAAATATTGTTGGTGCCCTTCAGAAAATTTAAAAAAAGTATTTAAACTTTGTATTAAAATATTTTAAGTTAAAATTTTTCAGTAATATTTATTTTGAGATTTCAGGATACATTAGATTAGACTTGGGCCTTGTTACAGAATTAATATTTAAATTTTTTTTTCACTCTAAACAGTTTTTAGTTTTTTAATTCACTCTTGGGATTTTTCATAAATTGACAATTATTTCCAACTTTTTTAATACTTTACCAATGAAATTTTTATTTTTATCTGTGTAATAAAAGTTTTAAGATAGAGAGAGCACAGGCCTACCCATAAAGACTCAAAAGGCAATGTCCGTAGAAGGCAGGGCTTTCTTTAGAAAAAAAATAAAAAACCAAGCCACAGGCCAACGGAACTCGTGCTTCTAAGCCTTCACTT